GAACCATTTATGGCCGTTGTAGCTCAGCCTTTGCCTACACAAATTACTGCACCAGACACGTAGATAATAATAATAATAATAATAATAATAATAATAATAATAATAATAATAATAATAATAATAATAATAATAATAATAATAATAATAATAATAATAATAATAATAATAATAATAAAATAATAATAATAATAATAATAATCGCCACTGTGAAAGCGGACATGTACAATAGAAAATTAAGAATACAGCCCGACAGCACATGTACTACAAATGTAGACACACTTCACCGCTTGACAGATTATCTATAGCCGACGCCCTGTTCGCCGATATCATTAGACCACGTGCATTGCCTGCTGTACTTTGGGTTGTCGTTTCTCGCCACAAGTACGGTCAAGTAACTTGGTAATAATAGCATATTCCCTTTCGGTATGCACAGCTCTTACAGCTTCAAATAACTCACGAGCTTTGAAGACGTCACGATCGATATTTCCGCCTCAGCTGAAGCACACGAGACTATTGCGAATTACAAATCCCCCTGAGTTAAAATTAAAACGAAATAGCCGATTCCTTAGCGGCCACTATAAGTGCTTCCAGTAGCAGAATATTTAACAGCAACCAGATAAGGGAAACTAGCCATTCGCATAGATGAGGTGAAATCTATAACAACGTGGACGGAATATCAGTACGTAAAAATTCTCACTGAACTTTCAGTGTAGACAATATCGACAATAAACATATTGCCTTTCAGTTAATTCTGAGAACAAATAAACAAAAACACTCTAGAGTTATTTTTGTCGTGTCGCAGATATTGGCTTACCAGAGAAAGACTTCTCCTTACTCCGCTTTCAAAGAAAAGCTTGAACGTGACGGTACAAATTACCCATGAGCTACGGTGCCTCAGTTTTGGGATATCACCGCAGAGATATGCATTTGATGCCGTGAGTAATGTTATTCAAGCCACTAAATTTGCACAGTTTGAATGTGGGCTCTTGCAAATACGCATTGAATAATTTATTTAAAAATGCGTTGAAATGTAAGAAGTCTACTCTAAATTGTTCTGATCACCTTATTACGGCAATATGGACTATACTATAGTGCAATCACACAGTAATAGCTGCACTTACTTAATTACGTACTGTTTATTTATTTATTTCGTTTTTATTCTTCGACAGTGTTCAAGTTATCTTCTATATTTTTTACTACGAATTCTTGGCCAACACCCCAGAGAAGGCATGCGCGAGAACGTAGAAAGAAAAAAAAATAAACAAAACAAAACCAGGGTACTTCATTGCCACACATGCCCCATGCTTTCTACTTTAGGTCACTGTCCCGTTACACGTGCAACGGCTGTCATGTGCACACTGGAATGACTGCAGGCTATCCATGATATTGTAGAACCTTTCGATGTGACTGCGCGCACAACGCGAACGTTTGAGTTGTTCTGGAACTACGGTTAACGCTATGGATAACGGAGCCGCTACGGATAACACTGCAATCTTCGATGGCATCATGTACTACAAATGTCGACGCTGTCTGAGTTGACGTTTCCAGGCCACAAGTACGGTCAAATAACGAGTTTCATCTCGGGCACGCCTATTTTAGTCACTGTAATCACAACGGGACAATATTTTGTAAAGCTATACTAGAAGTTGCCCGCTGCACGCCAGAGCGCGTCCCGCAAAACCTCATTAAAATTATTTTTTCAATCAACGTTGGAGCGGCCCGCAGTGCCGTCCTACCTAAACGGTGGAACTTCTCCAATTTCTAAATGAAGTTCTTTGTACCGTATCAGCCACTCAGCTCTTGGCCAATCCCCACAGTGGGTGTAAGCCACGGTTTAAGGTAAACAAGCTCTCGGTCTCGCGCTCTCGTGCAAGCAGCAGCAGAAGAAGATTTCTGCAAGCGCGGCCAGGCGACACGCTAAGTCACGTCTCTGTACTAGGCACTCATATACATTAGGCACTCTGTACTAGGCACTCTTAACCACTGAACCAAGTTAGAGGTGTGCATTTGACGACGCTGCAGAAGGAGCACGATGCGTTCGACAGACAAAGCCGGAAGCGTAAAGACGGGTTCAGTAGCAGGCCTATCGGCGCCCGGAAGTCCATCGCCCAAGAGGAGATACGCAAGACCCGAAAGCCCTCGCAACAGATCAACACAAGGCGCGACTCGGTCCCCAGGGTGAGCTAAACCATATGAGCACTGAATTTAGGTGAATTTTGTGAGGCAGCCTTGGAAAAAAGAAAATAGCGCCAAGAAATATAGCGACACGAAAGAACGCAGTCGCTTTAAAGTTGGCCGAGTGACAGGCCGATCTTTCGCTCGGGTCTGTTTAATCACCTAACTAATATCACGTAACTCATCCTAACTACTTGTCACGTGACATGTTCCCGTCAGAACAACGTAACGCGACACTAGGTATGGGAAAGCTGACCGAAACGGGAGAATAAGCAAGACTATATAGTCGTTCTTAATACTACTGTAGCAAAAATTTGGCCTTTCCCGCGAAAGCTTAGTCATCAAGCAAGAACTTGAAAAAAAAAAAAGCTGCGTCGAATACTGTTCGGCCTTGCGCTATTAGTTCAGAGCTCATTTTTTTTTCTAATTCGTTCGTTTGCGTTACGCTCACAAAAGGAAACTGTTTTAGTAAAGTTTGCAAAGCATAAGTGATATCACCACGACAAGTACATGAAGTTGCTTCACCTGGTGCAGGTAATGGAGAAATCCGTCAAGCCCTTCCGCGATAGGAGGCTTTCCGTACATCCAACGAAGCGAGCATCCTTGTATGAAGCCGAAAGTGCCAGACCTGCGATAAAAGTCGTGAGTGTTCCACGCATGAATTTTGTGGCAGCTTCCTGCTTTTTTTTACTTTGGAGAGGACGCTTTCAGGTACCACGATAGAGTTTACCTGAAGATTTCACCGTAGTGTCTTGCAAGCGACTGAAGAAAAATGGCAAAAGAGTCGCGTAAGCAGAAGAGATGAACAGCGTGCTGTAACCTGTAAGCCCTCGATTTATCTGAGCACAGCCAAAGCAGAACAATATCGGCTCTGCTTGCTTACGCTGCGTTTTGAGTAGACTTGTAAATATTGGCGTGGCACATCAAAACACGTGTGCATCCTGCATGCCGCAAAGATGATCTATCTGCGGGCATTTCAGTATCAGGAAATTGAGAACTTACCCCCGTATTCTAGAACGTCTCTTCACTTCAGTCTACGTTAAATGAGTCATGGCCTGAATTGCTTTTAACTAAATGCCTTCAATATAATGCTGAAATGGCAATTCGAGCATTAGTTTGCGCGAAGCTGTCTTGATACATTGAATACCAAAATTATAAGTACCGCAAAAAGCACCGAATTGCGGTGAGCTCTGTATTCTGCTCACTATAAAAAGGTACAGTAGTACTACAGTTACTATTACGAAATGTGCCCCGCCGCACTGGTCTAGTATCTAAGATACTCAGCTGCTGACCCGCAGGTCGCGGGATCGAATCGCGGCTGCGGCGGCGGCTGCATTTCTGTTCTGTTTTAACGGTTTTGCTGTGGAGAGGTTGAGGTGCCTATTGCCTCGGCTACTCCATATCACAAAGTTCTGCAGCGAAAAATAAAATAATAATACAGAACGGTACCCAAAAATTTCTGATGGAGGTGGAAATGTTGTAGGCGCGTGTGCTCAGATTTGGGTGCACGGTAAAGAACCCCAGGTGGTCGAAATTTCCGGAGCCCTCCACTACAGCATCTCTCATAATCATATAGGGGTTTTGGGACGTTAAACCCCACATATCACTGTTACGAAATGCAATGAATTAGTGCTGCCTGCTACACTCTGCGCATGTGTGTAAACTAAAGGTAGCTGGAACTATTATGTACGTAGCTACGTTCTTTCAAGGATACAACGTTCAATGCTATAGCAGCAAACAAGGGCAAACTTGTGGCGCCCGTTCAGGTGAAACCGCTAGCTTCGGACATATTAAGCTGTCTGCCTGCACTGTTGAACCGATTCATTCGCCACTATAGTCCTCGCATCGCTTTATATTTCTGCAATGATCATTTTGCCAAGTATCTTTTGGAGAGCGTATAGCTCTGTTCTTGAGATACGCTCTTGTTCAGCGGTTCAGAAGGCTTGACGGGACAGTCTGTCCTTGTTTGCTGTGACCCACGGGTGGCGCACCAGGCCCGTGCCCCACATTCCGAAATTGTTTTTTAACATGGAATACAGAGCGAAAAAAGGGCCATTTCAAGAGGTGCGCGTCCTGCAATCAAAATGCCCGCCTCCCCCCCGCCCCTCCTCTACAAACATTTCTGGGTACGCGCCTGCTGCGACCACGATAAGATGGCGCCACCACCATTCACGCATATTTTGGTTCATTCACTCGCTGGAAGAGGTGTGCGCAGAGTTAGCCGAGATGTGTGATGTTTTCTGCAGCACAAAAAAAAAAAGCGATACTTTACTTGTCCGTTCTTATTGTTTCTACGTCCAGATGGCAAAAGTTGCCCGTTGACGCAACCAGGTAACTTCTTTTCGCTCTGCCAAGCGACAGTGTTTCGTAAACAGTGTAACCTGTCTTAAAACACCAGCGGTGAGACGCAGATGATTTCTCTTATGCTAAAGCAATGCCTCCTAGAAAAAATACTTTATTATGAGGCACTGGGTAAAGCTATCTTATATATGCGCTCCTGGCCAAATCGCCGTGACTAGCATGCGAGTGTTGTGTGATCTATCTCGTTGGCAGAATTTTATTCGATCGATTCTAAGCACTATTCGGCGATTTTCCGGGCTATCAGTGATTGTTGCCCCCACTTCAGAGCTTGCTTTCTTGAAGCGTAGATTACACCGTAAAGTACGACTCATTCGGCCGCTTCCGCTTTATCTTTTCTTTACATATTGTAGGGTGGCGTGAGTGGTTCGACTAGGATCGATCCTGAAGGAGCGCCAGTCCAGCAGGTGCAGCAGCATAACGAAACGCGGCTGTGGGTCGCAGTGGGTGTGTTCATGGCCGTGGCAATGACGTGCATCGCCGTGTACTTGGTGATTCTCAGGAAGCCACGGATACAGCTGGAAAAGTGCCGGTCAACGCCCTGCCTCGAACACGCCAAGAGACTGCTCGCTTCGCTGAACAGCAGCGTGAATCCCTGCAACGACTTCTACGCATTCACCTGTGGTCGTTGGCAAAACAGCTCTACCGAGAAGTCCGTCCAAGATGTCATGAACAAAAAGGCGATGCAAGAGGAGATTCAAGAGGTGAGCACTGACCTTTGGCAGCAAGGGAGGGCTAGCCGTCTCTACCACGACTGTCTGAGTCCAGAGCCAAGCCACATTGAAACCGACTTGGTCGCGCTCAAAGACACCATGAAGGACTTGCTCCTCACCTGGCCAATGGAAGAGCCTCAACCCACGGACGTGCATCCTTTGGGCGTGATGGTTGAAATGGCCTTAAAATGGGACATTAACTTCGTATTCGGGCTGGAAGCTTCCCGCACGAAATCCATGGGGAAGATCTTGGTGATCCGGAAAGCATATAGTAGAGCCGCGTGGGTAGATCGCTTCGAAAAGTCCACGAGTCCAGAGGATTACGAACGCATAGTCAGTGCGCACTTGTCTTACGTTGGTGCTAACCTAACGAATACAAATAGTACGCTCCTGCAGGAGCTTGAATACTCGTTTATGGCGGCTAAATTTCGCAAAGCTCGGGGCGCGCAAAAGTGGTTCATACTGGCCAAGATAAGTGACGAGACGCCATCGTTCGACTCCGCCAGTTGGCTGCAACATCTCTGGCGTCACTCTGAAGACTCTGTTTCGAAGTGGTCATCCCATGACATGGTGCAACTCGAAGACGCCAACATACTGGCCGACGTGGAGGGGCTGTTCAAGAAGCACACTCACGTAGAACTTCTAATTGGCATTGCGTGGATGTTCTTGCAGTCCCACTTGTGGGCTGTCGTTGGCAAACCGGAACTGATGTTTCACGATAACGTGGAGGACAAGAAAAAGCACGCTTGCCTCGAGTACGTCGACTCGCGCTTTGGTCTTCTCTCATCTGTAAGTCATTTACTCAAGCTGTACCCGACGAACGACGCTCGTCGCGAGGTACTGGACTTTTTGCTCAGTCTCAAGAGCGAGTTCGAGATTCTGATGAAAAACAGCTCGTGGATAGACGGGCAAAGTAAGCATACAGCCGGACAGAAGATAGCCGCGATGATGCTGACTATATTACCAGCCGAGCGATTTTTCGCTGCTCAGCAGCGTGCTGTTCTGTACGAAAGATTCCCATCCATGAACAGTTCGGGGTTTTTCGAGGGCTGGCTGCAGGCATCGGTGACCTACCAAAAGCTTCACGGCGACGAGCGCTACCGAGATGTGTACAAAAAGAGGCGCACTTTACTGTACGAGCCGTATTCGTACTCCTACTTGGAGAATTATGTCAGCGCTGCCACGGTTTCGCTGGAACCTCCAATGTTCTACGAAAGAGCACCCCTCATGATTAATTACGGCGGCGCGGGAGTACAGGTTGCCCGGCAGATCGCGAAAAGCTTCGACCCGCGTGGCGTTAACGTGGACGACCGCGGCGAGACCATCTCCTGGTGGGGAAAGCAGCAATCGGGCGAATACAGGAGCCGTGTCACCTGCCGCTTGGGTGAAGGAGCGCCCGCGTCGATGGGTGTGCTACCCACGATACCCGCTATAGAGGCAGCTTTCTTCGCTTACCGGGCCGTTCTGTACAAATTGCAGGCCCGCCTTGGGTTTATTGCAGACCTCAGAATTCCGGGCCTGGAAAAGTACAACGATGACCAGGTGTTCTTCATGACTTACTGCTATACGCTGTGCTCGAGGAAGGGTGACAAGAGGGCAGAACTCGAGTGCAATGTGCCGCTCAGGCACTCTCACGCGTTCGCTAGCGCCTTCCGTTGCCCTGGAGGATCCCCAATGAGCGCCGAGGAAAAGTGCACGTTCTTTACTTGACTGTCTTTGACGCTCGCCTTCGTCTTTTGACCTCTGACTAATGGTTTGCATATGAAGGATGCTTGATTGCTGTTGTCGAAGGGCAAAAGACATTCGCTCTCAGTAATATATTCACATCTCTTTATGATAAGATTTTTTTTTGTTCAGTACATTTCTAAACACCTGGTGTTCGGGGTTACTATAGATTATTGAACATATACGCTAATTCACTCATATAATATTTTTTGAGTTGCTGACCAGTGAAGCTATTGCATGTTGTTTTATGTTATATCATAATTTAATGGTAAAAGTGCGGCTATCTTCGAGGAATGCTTTGGTTCAACTGAATTCAATTTTCATGCTTGCTTTGGCACTTGGCGCGTAGTCGGTTGTAGTCTACGTAGTGAGCTCTTGGGACAAAGTTTCAAAATCAACTGGCGGGCAGTGAGTGGTAAGAAAATTAGCGGTTGGAGTGACAATAAAATCCAGGGCTTGTGTGTAGCAAGCAAGTGTTCTACCGCACAGTTACGCCAGTGCTTGAAAATGTTTCAAAAAAAATATACGAATGCAGCGTAAGTGCGAGGACATCTAACGCATGCAATAGGCGGGGCAGCTTGACGCGCATGCAACTGAAGCAGCCGCCAAGACATTACTTGCGCTACTGGCAGTTGTGTAAGACCCACGATGTACAAAGCGTGCAAGCAGCAGCATCAATGCAGCAACACGGTACTGTGCAAGTGTGGAACAGTGATGAAAAAAACTCGAAGGAGGGCGAAATGCGGAGCACTCCTCTATACGGCGTCTTTCATAATTGTTTTGGGACGTAAAACCCCAGATATTATTATTATATTCTCTAGTGTTCTTGGACCATCTCCGGCGTCACTCTGAAGATTCTGGTTCTAAGTGGTCATCCCATGACCTGGTGCAACTCGAAGACGCCGATATCCTGGCGGACATGACTACATGCCACACTGATGATGCGCTCGCGGCCGTTTCGCTAGCTTCACATATGCGAAATTTGGTATTACGTGACGTCATTGGATGACGAAGGTATGTAACGGGTGCAAACATGATAATCATGAGATGCGTGTCATGTGAGACCATGAGTACATGCCACAGTCAAGGCGCCAATGCATATCGACCTGACGCGGTGCGCGTGCTCGCCGGCGTTCATTTTGTCGCGCCACGCCGGCGTTCCCACGCCAGGCGCCGGTCCTGCCATTTACTCGCAAGCAGGTGCGCGCCGCGCTGGGTTGCTTTGACGCATGTGCGTTTCAGCGCGTCCGACGTCCTTCCGTCACGAAAAGAGAGATACGCAGTACTGTCTGTGTAACACATCGGCGTGAAATACAGCATATTGCATTTCGCACTGGTTGCCGTCGGGCCGCGCCAACGGACGCTGGTCGCGCCTAGCGTCAGATTATAAATGCTCGTGTTTTGCTAACGTAGCATTGCTCTGCCCAGCGTACGCGCGCGTGAACGCTACAATAATGGGCCCTTCATGATGCACTCGCAGCTGTTTTGCTATATAGCTCCACATATACCAAATTTGGTGTTACGTGACGTCAATAGATGACGAAATATATGACTGGTGCAAACATGATAATCCTGACACGCGGGTCATGTAGGAACATGACAACATACCACGCTTATAGCGTGCTTGTGGCCGTTTCACTAGCTCCACATATACTAAATCTGGTATCATGTGACATGGATAGATGACAAAGGTAAACGACACATCGAAACATGATAATCATGACACGGAAGTCATGTACGGCATCATTTACCTCCACCTCGTAACGTTGTGCTGATTTTAAAGGGACTAATCAACATGTCTCATTCGTGCTTCGCATATCATCGATTCCCACTCTACGTGAGATCTGTCAACTGTTTCTTTTTTTTATATGTCCGCCAGTCTTCATGTTGCTACCTCTTCCGCGCGTGCCCCAGCGTCTTCTCTCATCACCGAACTCGCACTCGCTTGTTGTTGGGCATAACATCTCCTTTATGTCGGGGAGGGCATCCACTTAAAATTGACAATTTTCGCTCTTTCATTGCGAAAAAAAATTTCGGGGGAGTAGGGGTGGAGGGCAAGAGCCCAGTGTCACCCCATGCATGGTTACGCAAAAGCGTTGGCCTCGTGTTTTTTTTTTTTTTCGTGCAATGTGTTGATGGGGGCCTGTTAGTCATAACACGATACGTCACAATTTTGCTGCAGCGTGCGACAGATCATTAGTTACCAGCTCCGCATTATGAACCAATCTCAGTTTCGGTGTGAGAGATCCAAAACCGACGAACCACCGGGTGCAACTATCGCACAAACCTATAGCGTGTGCAGCGCTTGACCACATCAACAAACACACCAGTGACAGGCTTCCGCACTTTCCGCATCAAGGTTTCCTGGCGAATAAGGTCCCTAGATGAAGCAAGTCGAACAGATATAGCAGTGTCGCTGAACACAAGACTTTCAACGAGTGCGCTGCGGCCACGGACTATAGCGAGCAGCCGCCGATAATTACGTTATACTGGCCGAGAACAAACTTGGTAAAAGAAAAATGCCATTATCAATCCTAGTTTTATCGACTGCAGCGTGGTGACGTGAAGGCAGCCACGACAGGATTACCTAAATTTTGACCTTCAAAATTCGTGTGAAGTATTTTGCCGGCTATATTCGCTGTCAATATATTGTAGATGACATACAATACGCATGTTCCCGGGAATAAATTTCACAGGCTATCTCGGCCGCAAAATTTTGTGTGAGTACGAGTTTGCTTAGAGTTCCTGCATTTTCAGGGCGAAGCTCCCAAAGCCGCAGGTCTGTACATGCTTGTCTCTCCTGCTACGTGACCGCCTCAGAACTATAGTTCTGTGACTCACTGATCAGGTGCGCACAGATGGGTGGATGGACGGATGGACAGACAGATGGCCAGACAGACAGACGGATAGACAGACAGCCATGAAAATGAATGGATGGAGGATTCACAATTTACCGATAAAACTCTCCAAAGCTCCACCCCACTCATCATCAATCACTCCGTGAATAATTTTTTATCACCTTTGTGCACTGCATTTGTTGGCCGCCTCATGACCCCGGCCCGCCTACTACCAATTCGAGCATATCAAGCGCCACGCGAAACCGCCACCGTCCAATTGCTTTACCTTCATGGTGATGATTGTATCTTGTTCCGAACGAAACCTCCCAGCGTTGTTTCAAGCGTGCAGTACCCCAACATTGCACTCGATAACGCCGTGTCGGCCATGCGCTGCATGTACCACAAACTTCAATATTGGAGCTATACAAAAACATGTGCAGTGCAGTAAGAAAATGACACAGATATAATGCTAAAGCTGAACTTTACCTTGCTCGCTGTCTCAAGAAAACAACGTTTGGCGTGAAAATCAAAACAAAACCTGCAGCAATTATGGCCTTCGAGACCTCAATTATGTCACATGTTATTTCAGAGGTCATGCGTGTGTTTGCACAACAGAAAAAGAGTTTCGTACAATCGTATTATTGTACGCACTATAAGTTATCCACATGCATGCACTAGGAATGTTGTCATTCGCAAGAAACAAAGTGGAAATAGCTCTAACCACGACCACATGTAAAAGCGCCGCGGCGATCTTCACTGACTCGCAAGCCGCTTGCCGGAATTATGGGAAGGGCCGTGTATCAACCAACGCAATTAAAATCCTGAAACAGCGAAGCTCTCCACTTCCATGTATACCTGCGTAATCTGGGTTCCTGGACACGAGGGTCTACAGGGAAATGAAGCGGCCCATGCCTCTGCCCGCAAGCACAATAGCCGGGATGCCCTGGGACCAAAGGATACCCGATCTGTGACTGCAGAGATGGAAGTAGTAAAAAAAAAGCCGCTCATCGCTACTTCAGCACTACAAACTCAAGCGACGGGTGTATCCTCCACCCTGCTCAAAAATGACCAAAGGAGAAGGCGTGATCTTCAGACGGCTGCAAAGCAACACGTACATACATGGAATATTGATGCACCGCCTCTACTCAACGACACATGGCTACATGTGCCCGCTCTGCAGCGTACCGGACACCCTGGCACACTTGCACCTAGAATTCCAGTGCCATGCGAACCACGACGTGCAACTGGAGCGGGACCAAGAACGAAGAATGAGCGACGACCACTTAATGGAAACGTAGGAGGCCGAGCTCGCCCTCGAGTACTTGGAAGACCAGAGACAACTCGTCGTCAGGGCCAAGAGGGCAGTCAAGGCCAGAGGATTCCTGAACTAGGGAACCCTCCCACCTTGGGGTGATTGCGAACATCGCTTGGAACACTGTTTCGAAATAAATGTTTATTTCTCTCTTCCAAAGATCTAATACAAATGAATTTTTTACCAGTGGTAGCTTTCTTTGGAGTTTTTGTGCAAGTTCACCTATCCGCCTGCTATAATGGCACCACCTGCGCATTTCATTTCAGTCTCTGAGGCCTTGGCAGTGATTTTCCGTGCAGAGAATTTTTCCTTTTTTGCGAAATTTTCGCCTGTCATTTTGAGCCAAAGGGGCAAAAAGGGAATCCTCGTGATATTGCAGGCAACTACAGGAATGGTTAAAATAATTTATAACGTCATAGTGAGCCTTCATCTGTTGTGTCAACAGTGTAATCGCACTGTTGCGAATGCACCACGCAAGCATATTCTTTGAGATTTGTTTCTGATATTTTCGCGGAGTGATTTCTAGTTCACTATCTACAATGTGCAGTGTACTAATAGTATATGAATTACTGAACTCAAGCTTTTGTTGTGCGGCAGCGTAGGGGCTAGTGAACTTCGGCTGAGGTGCACTAGCACCATGACGGCGGAACTAAAGTTATGTCAAACACCGCTCGAATTTCACGCCCAGTTAGGGGCCGAACGATTTGTGAACCACGAGACTCGATTGAATCCACTACAGTAGCACCGTCTGTGTGAGACGCCATTCAGCAGACGACATTTTCCAGTGCCCTGTTTGTACTGAAAATAAAAGAACAAACGACGGAAAACCATACGAT